CATTTTTAAGTATTTAATGTACTCATAAACCCAATGAAGTTCTGATGAGGCTTTTAAACCTTTTGGGTCATCTGTAAGTCACCAATGGACTGTTTTCTCAATTTCTAAACATGTCTTTAAAATGTGTTATGTCTTTTAAGCATTCAAGTGCTTGTTTATTGGAAAATAAACATCTATGTGAAAGAAAAACAATAAAATGGCAGAAATACTGTCTGATCACCTTTTGTTTTTTTAACAATTAAGGATATGCAATTCTGTCCTCACAATAAAGAGATTTGAACAGTGTCATTTTTACGGACAGCCTGAACAGGACAGGAATGCTTCAGTATAATACTTGTCCAACTACTCATTATTCTGCTTGTCCTTGATGTTCTTAGCATTTCTCCTCACTGATGGGTCACTTACACAAGCTCTACTCTACTGTCAGCTTCAGGGAGCTGATACTCTAAATCTGGGTAGAGTCACAGGCTGGTGTGTCACCTTATTTAGATTGTCTTTCCTCCAAGTAGTTACCAGCCCCCCAATTTGTCCCACTTTTTATTTTATTTTTATATTATTAAATTAAAGTTCTACCTGGTATCCCCCATTTATGGATCCATTTTACTCTCTTGGTTGATTAATTCTTTTTAGCTTTCAATGAGCATTGGTTTTCATAACCTATGTGTAATATTTTAACCAAGGAATATGTTACTGTGAAAATTTCAAACTCTCTGGCAATTGTGGGATTCTGCCCTGTATTTCTCTAAACCAGTGCAGAAAAAGAAATCTCCAAGCTCTCTTTCTGTACACTTTATCACTACTTGTTCTAATAAAAATGTTTCACAAGTTTCAGCCATCTTGATAGAACATTATAACCTGTTACACTCCCGGGCTGAAACTTAGGTTATTTCTATGTCTACAAATCCAGCCCAGAAGAACCCATGTTAAAATGGTATGGCCTACTCATTAAAGTATCCATTTATAATGTCCAAAATGTCAAGGGCAAACTCTTCAGAACATTCTGGTCCTTTCAGTATCTGATGTCACAGGAATTTATTAATCTCAGTTCTTGGCCCAGCTAGTTCCAGCCAATTCTCTCTCTCTCTCTCTCTCTCTCTCTCTCTCTCTCTCTCTCTCTCTCTCTCTCTCTCTCTCTGCACCCTGTCTTCTAGCATGATGATAATTGACTAACCCTCTGAAGCTCTAAACAAACCTCCAATTATCCAATTAAAAGCTTTCTTCTTTAAGTTGCTTTGGTCACAATGTCTCTTCACTTCAATAGAACAGTGATTAAGACATATGGGCATTCTATAGCTAAATGAAATGAGGTTTATTTATAATTAAGTATTCACAAGCTGAAATAAGCCCAAGAAAAGCTTCCATGGAAGCAGCTGAATAAAAACAAAACAAAACAAAGCAAAAACAAAAAACAAAAACATCCAAAAAACAAAAAAACCTAATGAATAGGTGTGCATGAAGACATTTCACAAACTTTTGATGGAGTGTGTGATGGTCTAAATGTGTCCAACCTTTTGGCTTTGAGTTGCAATGTTGTTATCTACAAAGTCAGTACACAATAGAGTTATTTTAAGAAATCAAATGCCAAAAAAGTCTCATAATGTTTTAAATAAGTTTAGGAGTTTGTATTGGATCATATTCATAGCCTCCTGGTATGTTCAGGCCACAAGCTGGACATTCCTGGGAGTAAAAAGGGAATATTTGTGGAAGGAAATGAGTAATGAGTAATTGTTATTTTTGCTTAAATACATGTGATTTGTTTAAGTTAATAGTATGCTATAGAATTTCTAAGATGATAGAGATAGTCTACATACACCACTTTGTTCAGTAGGGCAGCTTAAGTAGTTGCATGTTGCTACTATAGTGGATGATTCATTTAAATAAGTTGACACAGGTTTGATTTGGGGAAAGTATTTTACAACTAAAAGCATTTTCCTTGTAGGATCATGCAATGTCAAAAGGTGGGTTTGTGTGTGTGTGTGAGAGAAAGAGAGGGGGTGGAAGAGAGAGAAGGGGGAGAGAGAGAACAAATGGATGATGATGAAATGTAAGTTTGTAAGGAGACAAGACAGGGAAATTACACTCAAAGTATATTATATATGTGTATTAAAATGTACTTATATAAGCCAAAAAGAATATTAATTCTAAAATGAGAAAGGAGCTACTAAACTGTACAGATATTTCAACTTGACATTACACGAGAGTGGTAAAACTAAGCACATGAGACTCAACTCCATAGTAGGAAATGTTGAGTCTATAATCCAGTACACAGACAATAGATCGTAGCTGCCAGTTGTGGTCAATCAGAGCTTGTTGACTGGGAAATATTTTAAACCCCTTTTGGAAGATCATATTTTGAAAGGAAGGAGCTTTGAAGTCAGATTTATGTGTCCAAATTTTCTTCAAAAAATAAATAAATAAATAAAATAATTCCCCTTCAGTTTATTTATTTATTTATTTATTTATTTATTTATTGAGTTGTTTTTCTTTTCTCCAGAATGTTTTTTTTTTTTTCATAGTAACAATTGGGGCTTGGGAGTGGTAGTTTTTTCCTATTATAGTATAGGTTCTACCAGAGCAAAGATATTCTGTTAGTTCACTCCTTGCTTCCCACTGATATTACTGCCTCAGCTCTTCCAATATTGTGGAACAGAAGAATGTTCCTCATGGCTGGTGAAGAATGATAAAGTATATGAGGCACTAGCCACATAAGATTTAGGAGCACATGAGTGTACATATCAGTGTCAGTGTCTAGGATGCTATGGTTAGCTCACAAGAAATAGTCAATAAGTGTTGGCTTAAAAACATTTTTGCAAGAAATTTAAGTTGGAATTGACTGTCTTTGTCACACAGAAATACAGACACCAGCTCACCAGCTCTCCAACTAAAAGTAGCAGGGTCTGTCTTTTCCACTCCAGCATCCCATTAAGCTATTTGGAGCCTGGAGCCCTGATTCTCAGTACTCTAATCCCCAGTAGGACTTTCACAGAATTGCTACTCCTGATTCTAAATGTATCTTCTAAATCTCAACTTCTCTCCCCTGAGCAACCAGATAAGCAAGGGCCTGCAAGTGTTGGTAGAATTAGCCACATGGAGCACATTCTGTCTTCCAGACTGAGTTTCCACTTAACTGACTTTGCCTGGGAATTCTATAAGAACTGCAGTAACAGAAGGGAATTGAAAGTTAACAGCTAAATGAAACTTAGGATTATGACTTCACCATTAACTGAGTCTAATGTGTATGGCAGTCTACAATAGGTGGTCAATGAGGTAAATATGGAAGAAGACAAAAAAAAATCTCAAGGAATTTTGATATTGACTGCCTCTACCATAGAAATCCTGCCTCTGAGCAGTGTTTTAAAATGCTACAATTTTAGTAAGAGTTAAAAGGGAAGAAGAGGGAGAAATGGAAAAAGGAAAAGAAGAGAAGTGAAAAGAGATAAAGAGAAGGGAAGGAAGAAGACACCAAGATACTAGACAGGAAACAAATGTTTGCTATAAATATGCAAAGATACAGCTCAGCTGATAGAATGCTAGCGTCCAACATTTTATGAACCTGGCTTGGAGGAATCTGGAGAAAGTAGTAGCAGCGGGATCCGAAGTTCAGGGTCATTCTCAGGTACACAGTGACTACAAGATCACCACATGAAACTGTCGCAAAACTATACACACAGATGGGCTTCCCTTCGTGAGAGTATAAACCTCTCTCCGCATTCTTGGCGGGAAAAGTTCTGGAAGTTTACCCTTTACTCTCTTCACTTATGAAGTTTACAGAGAGTAAAGGATAAATCCGATTGGAAAAGTCAGTTGTTGATAAAAGCACCACTTTAAAAGTTGTAGCTGGGGCTTTCAGAAAAATAAACAGAAAAGAAACAGCAGAAACAGTGAGGGATAGGAAAGGAGGAGGTGAGCAAAGAAGAAAAACAGCTAGAAAGTGTACTGTGCCCATCTGTTGATTCGCCTCTCCTCTCACTCGTTTCTGTGGCTTCCAAAGTTTCCGGACCGGCAAGGAAAGAGTCCATCCGCAGACCCACAGAAAGACCTGCACCTGGAAGTCCACACTGGGGACCCCTGGGAGACGCCCTGCAGAGAAGCCGCGCTTCCCGGGTCCATCCTTCTCCTTGCAGAAAGAAGGGTTGAGAGCCAGAGCCTTCCCGGTCTGGGCCCGCCCTCAGCCAGCAAGCATGGATCTCAGGCTGCGCCTGCCTGGAGAGTAGAGGGAAAGGCACAGAGGGCCAGAACTAAGTCAGCTACTGAAGCTCAAGCGGTGGCAGCTGCAGCACCCCAGGGGACACCTGTGCTGGCGATCACCGGCTGGGACCCCGTGAGTGTCCCCAAGCTCTGTGGGGCAGAAAAGGAATTGCTTGAGGAAGTGAGAAGGCCGGCCCTAGAACAGGATCCTTTCTCACTTCGCCGCCTGGAGAGGAATCAGGAAGATTGACTAAGGCACAGCCGAAGATGGGGAAATAGCCCTGAAAAAGTGGGGAAGGCAGCCAGCCAGAAGCAGGTCCCCTAGGCTCAGCCTGTCATCCATCCAGAAGCGGTGAGTCGCTCAGAGCAACTTGTCAAAGCTTCCCGGGTGTTGGGGCTGCTGGACCGATGCCAGTCCCACTACCCCTGGTGCCTGCCTGCGCATGGGCACAGCTCTACTCCCGGGCCAAGTGGAAGACTACGTGAATACCAAATGTCCCTGTCCTGTGCGGCTATCAGTTCCTCTGTTGTTTGTTCTTTTTTCCTTCGTGAGAACTTTTGGGCGAAGATACAAACTTTTTTGTTCTTAAGCTTCTTCGCGTTGCTGGGAAAGGAAAAAGTACAAGCTGGTGAAAAGGACCTTCTCCCGTGTCTAGTTTTTCCAGCATCCACGGTTAAAACCATCACCTCCAGGGGACTGAAGTTGTGAGAAGTGGTGACAGCTGGGAGGGCGCAGGATTCCTTTGCAGCCTTCATCTGGATCTACCTCCGCATGTATGAGTGTACCAGCAGCAGCAAAAGGGGCAGGAGTCTCTGCTGGGACCTGAGTGAATGGCCCCCAAGGACAGCGCAGAGCCTCTGCCTCTGCCACCTCCTCGGGGCTGGGAGTGGCCTGGAAAGATAGTGGCCATGGGTGCCCTGGCAGGCTTCTGGGCCCTCAGTCTGCTCACTTATGGCTACCTGTGCTGGGGCCAGGGCTTAGAAGAGGAGGGGCCCCTGAGAGCTCAAGCTGGAGAGAGACCTGAAGAAGGCTCCACTGGCACCTCCCAGCCGCATCTCATTTTCATCTTAGCTGATGATCAGGGATTTAGAGACGTGGGCTACCACGGATCTGAGATAAAGACACCCACTCTTGACAAACTCGCTGCAGAAGGAGTTAAACTAGAGAACTACTATGTCCAGCCTATTTGCACACCATCCAGGAGCCAGTTTATTACAGGAAAGTAAGTGTTACCACTTCTATTTATTATTTGGAAGCGTCTTGAGCCTTTATTTAAAACCGGTTTCTCATTTAAAGGAGAAACAGAAAGTATGATGGGCAACAACCCAAATGAATGAACAAATGAATGGATGAATGGTGTACAGTACCTTGATATTAGTGTTAATAGCCAGATCCTACTCTCCTCCCTTTCCTTTTCTTGACAAGTAGCTGAGAGCTTTTGAATGGTGTCAGGGTTTTTACATTCATCCATCAACCAGAGAAATCCATGGTTGCTGCTTCCAAATCCGTTTTGATTCTCAAGCCTGCTCACACTTTGTTTCAAGTATCAGAACAGAACTCACATGGCAAGGTGTTATTTCCAACTCTTAGTTTGTTACAAAATCTAGAGTAGCATGACCAAAACCCCAGGTCATCAGAGAGAGAACAGATGCCACAAAAGCAGAAAAAAAAAAGTGACAGGTATGCAATACAACTCTCCCAGGGTCATATCTAACTGCCAAGACAGTTCTCAAGGTGCAGTGGAGTTCAGTGGAATTTGCTGCTGCTTCTCCAAAGCAGGGAAGAAGTCTGAGTAACTGTCACAGGGCAGAGGACTGAGAAATGTGTTTCATGCTGTTAGCAGTCTGCTAAAAAGCTAATCTTCTTAAGGTGCTCATTTTTTTTTTTTTTCTGTTTTTCCTTTGTCAGAATGTACTTGATTGTAACTTGTTTCCATTCAGGTTGAAAATTTGGTTTGGAAGGCAGGTAAATCAAGGCCAAGGTTCAAGTGTCTCCTGAACAGTGATGGCTTCAATCTGTGTGCTTTGTGAGTCTGGTTCCAGGGCAGAGAACCCTTGCATTTAGTGAAGTTGTTCTTGGAGTTGGATGCTGTAAGAGTAGCCAGTAACCAGTCTGGAAAAACTAAGACTACAGTGTTTTGTAGGAATCTCTGTCTTGTGAAGACTTTTGCTTACAACATAATTTCCACTGCTTAGCAAACTGTCAAAATTTAACATCACTACCAGAAAAAAAAATGTTCATCCTTAGGAATAAGAAGTGGAGAGCAGAGCATGGTGGCATACATGTTTAATCCCAGCACTCAGGAAGCAGAGCCAGGCAGACCTCCATGAATTTGATGTCAGCCTAGTCTACATAGTGAGTTCCTGGTCAGCCAGAGTTACAAAGTGGGATATTATCTCAAAAAGAAAAAAAGGAAAATAATAGAAAATAAAAGAAGGAAAAGAGTGAGTACATACCATGTTTGTCTTTTTTTGTGACTGGGTTATCTCACTCAGGATGGTTTCTTCTAATTCCATCACTCATAATGGATATTAGACACAGAACAAAGGACCACTATCATACAACTCACACCTCTAGAAAAGCTAGGAAACAAGGAGGACCCCCAGAGAAGGGGAAAGGGGCAAGTCCTCCTGAGCAAATTGGGAGCATGGGGGTGGGGATGAAAGGGATGAAAGGGGTTAGGAGAAAGAGAAGGAGAGGTTTAGAGAGAAATCTGGCACTAGGGAAATGTCCAGAGATATACTAGGATGACCCTAACTAAGAATCTAATAAATAGGGGAGAGGCTACCTTAAATACCTTTCTCCTATAATGAGATTGATGGCTATCTTATATGCCATCACAGAACCTTTGTCCAGTAGCTGAAGAAAAAAGAAGCAGAGACCTGCAGCTAAACACTGAGCCAAATTCCTGGAATCCAGTTGTAGAGAGAGAAGTGATGAGCAAAGGGGTCAAGACCAGGCTGGGGAAACCCACAGAAACAGCTGACCTGAACAAGGGGGAGATCATGGACCCCTTGACTGACAGCTTGGAAACCAGCATAGGATAGAAGTAGGCCCCTTGAACATGGGTTTCAGTTAGAGGGACTGGTCAGTCTATGGGGCCCCTGGTAATGGAACAGCATTTATACCTAGTGTATGAATGGACATTGGGAACCCATTCCCCACAGAGGGATATTTTCTTAGCCTATACACACAGGGGAGAGCATAGGCCCTGCCCCAAGTGATGTGACAGACTTTGATGATCCCCCATAGAAGACCTCACCATTTAATTGGAGCAGGAGAGGGATTGGATGGGGGTCGGTGGGGGTGCCTGAGAGAATGGGATGGAAAGGGAGCTGAATTGATATATAAAATAAGATTGTTTCTAATTTAAAGAAAAAAGGAAGGAAAAGAGGAAAGGGATGAGGGACAGGTCTTAATGTCCTTCAGAGTCATCTTCAGTGTTAATCATTGCATCATGAAATGAAAAGCATTTGATATTTACAAAAGAGCAATTGTTGGCTGAGAAAATAAGCCCATCTGGTGGCCTGGGCTTATGTTCTTCATCTCTATTCCCAACCATCCTTATCCTTGGCTCATGAAATGAACATGTCATAAAGATACTTCAACTTATTTATAGAATCCAAATTTGCACAGAGAGCCAACAAAAGATGGAAAAATGAAACTGGCTTATATGAACTTACTTTAAACAATAAAGTATGTGCAAGGCTTTTTGCTGAATGAGGATGTTTGGGCCTAAACACCTTACAGTGATAAAATATCTATTCTACCTTCATCATTACCTTGAAGTTTACCTAATTAAGATGAAAGAAAATGAAGACAGAAATAACTCCTGTTTTTTTTTCCTTGTAATCAAAGGCTGACTTGGCATTGTCCAATGAGGAGATGTTGCTCCCCACTAAAATTTTATGTTCAGAGCAGTAAGTGGCATAATTGTTTTGTAGACCAGAAATGTTCAAATAGTTACTGTGATTTGATACAGAGTTAAGCAGTGGGAGATATCTCACTTGAAAATTTCCCTGGGACTTCCCTATAAACGAATACAGATGTAAGAAAGTGGTCATGGGTGTGTAGTCCTGGGCCTAATACAAATACTTCAGGCCTAGAGAATATGGTCTGTGAGAGCATGACTGTACTTTCTGCGTCCTTCAAAGAAAACAGGAAGGAAGCAATCAAAGTCCCAGTGGGATGGATTATTTCAAGAGGAAAATAGGTTATGTGAAAAGTGATAGGAATCAAATATCTTTATATGACTTGAGAAGAGTCTAATGAGTTAACTTTGATACCACCCAACAAATATACATACATACATACATACATATGAATCAAAACATGAAACTGTCTTTTATGATACAGATCTGTAACAAATTCCTTTTATAATCTATATTATATAACTCTGGCACCACTGAATATAAGTCACCACCAGAAAGCAATCATTGCCTGCAGACTGCTGTCTGCAAACTGTGAGTAACAGTTGAGGAAACCTGATCTCTACTTGGTAGTTCTCAAACTCAAGTATGCAGAATTAATTGCCTCAAATGTCAGTCAAAATACATATCCCTAGACCTACCCACCTTTCAGCTTCAGCAGCAATGGGTGTCTGTCAGGAAATCACTAATAATTTTATAAGTATGCCCCATTATTCTGATTATAATGCTGCGTATGATGAATTAAAGCATCTGTATTAAATGTAAGCATCTAAGCAACTATCACTGTTACACACATTATCTCATTTGGTTCCAAAAACAGTTCTGTAATATAGCTGTTACTTTTATTCCTGTTTTATATAGATTTGGTAGAAGATCAAGAGGGGTAATAGTACAGTGTGGTCAATGGATCTTCATAGTTGGTTTGATGGCATGAAGGCTAATAGAGAAAATGACTGCCTGTGTTCAATCAATTCCAAGGTGACTTATTATTCTTAAGGAACTGTTCCAAGTGGTAGCCCAGAGACATAACAGCACTTTTTGTTTAAGGAGACCACAATGACAGTTTGTAAATTATAGGGTTTGTAAACATTGGACACATATGTTTGAAGACCTAAAGAAAGATAGATAGGCAATCTGAATTTGACTTCTCTCATGCTCAGTGCTTTCACTTTTGTGGATTTCTCCATATTGTTGTCTACTGATGTAATTTATTTAATCTCCTTGTGGGATAGTGTTCCATTGTATAAATATGTTGCAATGTGTTTATCCATTCCATTATCAAGAATGATGGTGGTTTCCAGTTTGATACCATTATGAATATGCTGCCATAAACACTTATTTGTGCTTTGATGAGCATATTTTTCCACTTCTCTTGTGTGTTTATTGAGTACAGTTGTTGAGATACAGGCACGTGTATGTACAGCTTTTGTAGATACCGCTCAGCACTTCCCAAAGTCATCCCTTGTTACAGGGTCCCAAGGGTCGCTCTTGGGGAGGAGGCTGCTGTTTTCAAGACCCTCAGGCAGAGCTAGGTTGGATTTCAGGAAGTATTTACTATGCATGCTCAGTATAACTAGGACCAATCTTGGTCGGGTGGCTGTTAGGGCTTAGTCATCTCACAATCACTTCTGGGCTTGAACTATCAATCATTGCAGCTGTGTAATAAATCCCATCTGTGCCAACATTAGGTATGGTCTCTTTCCATTTTAGATTTTGTGATCACTATACACCAGTATGCTGTTCTGACTAAAATATACACTTTCATTATAACTAATAATGTCAAGTGTCTTTTAATAAATATTCATGCAAATAGTCCTCCTTTTTTCTGTTTAAGTGACTATTCATTCCTTGATGGAATGTGATGATTATTTATATAATTCCCTCCTTTGCCACTGTTTGCACTGCACAAATCTTCCACTGTGGGGCTTTCTTTTCCCTGTTTTCAGTAATGTGTTTTTTAATGGCTGGGTTTTAATTTTATTGTAATTCAATTTATGCTATTTTCTTTTCTGTGCTTATTTAAGAGTCTTGCTTATGCCATATCATCATAATATGCTTTTCCCCCTAAACCTTGTATTCTTCTGTTTTTATATTTAGATCAACTGGAATTAATTTTGAGGGGAGTTTTTTAAGACAGGGTTTCTCTGTATTGCTTTGGAGGCTGTCATAAAACTCACTCAGTAAACCAGGCTGGCCTCAAACTCACAGAGATCCACCTGTCTCCGCCTCCCAAGTGCAGGAGGAATTAACTTTTAATGTAGTATTAAATCAGAGTTCCAAAGTATTCATTTTC